ATATATATATATATATATATATATATATATATATATATATATATATATATATATATATATATATATATATATATATATATATCAACGCACCGGCTGTATCCCACCGAGGCAGGGTGGCCCAAAAGGAAAAACGAAAGTTCCTCCTTCTAAATTTAGTAATATGTACAGGAGAAGGGGTTACTAGCCCCTTGCTCCCGGCATTTTAGTCGCCTCTTAGGACACACATGGCTGACGGAGGGAGAATTCTGTTTTAAAAGAAGAATTCTGTTCCAAAATCGCTATTGATTTTGGCTTAAATAACAACACTCTTGCCGAATAAGGCAAGCGAAAATTTGTGTATGCAATAATTTCGCAAAAATCATTCTGAACCTAACGTTGTGTTTTGTTTATTATGAAATTATTGTAATCTTATCTGAGATATATTTCAAGATTGAGACACTTGTGCAACATATGGGAATCTTTATTCCTAAATAAAGATTCCCATATGTTGCATAAGTGTCTCAGTCTTCAACTTGTCGGTTTTTAAAAACCATTCATCACGAGGTATATTTAGTTGGATTAGGCTAAATTATATTGCGCTTGTTATAATAAGGTTAGGTAAGTTTTCTAAGGTACTTTTGGTACAAAATTACTAATTTTTTATTAACATAAATGAGAAAATATGTATCTTTCAACGTATGAGAAAATTTTAGAAAGGACTTAATTTTAAATGAGTTCTTGCTAATTGACCAATTTTACCTATTCGTCACGACATTTTACCTATTCGGCACGTCCCTCCCTCTGTTACCACGTCCCTCCCTCTGTTACCACGTCCCTCCCTCTGTCACCACGTCCCTCCCTCTGTTACCACCTACCTCCCTCTTTTACCACGTCCCTCCCTCTGTTACCACCTCCCTCGCTCTGTTGCCACCTCCCTCCCTCTGTTACCACGTCCCTCCCTCTTTTACCACGTCCCTCCCTCTGTTACCACGTCCCTCGCTCTGTTACCACGTCCCTCCCTCTTTTACCACGTCCCTCCCTCGTTTACCACGTCCCTCCCTCTATTACCACGTCCCTCGCTCTGTTACCACGTCCCTCCCTCTGTTACCACGTCCCTCCCTCTTTTACCACGTCCCTCCCTCTGTTACCACGTCCCTCCCTCTGTTATCACGTTACTCCCTCTTTTACCACGTCCCTCCCTCTATTACCACGTCCCTCGCTCTGTTACCACGTCCCTCCCTCTTTTACCACGTCCCTCCCTCTGTTACCACGTCCCTCCCTCTTTTACCACGTCCCTCCCTCTATTACCACGTCCCTCGCTCTGTTATCACGTCCCTCCCTCTTTTACCACGTCCCTCCCTCTTTTACCACGTCCCTCCCTCTATTACCACGTTCCTCCCTCTGTTACCAATATATATATATATATATATATATATATATATATATATATATATATATATATATATATATATATATATATATATATCCTAATTCTGGTGAACGGCTTTTAATTCAAAGGACTGGAACAGTGCTTGTTTTCTCTCTCTCTTTCTCGGATCAACCCTAATTATCTCCGATTCCCTAAGCGCTGCATGACCCTACGGGTTTAGTGCTGGGAGGATTTAAGTTGAATTTGCAAGCAATGCAGACACCGCTGAGCAAACAGCGTGGTGAGTGATGATTGCTAAGTAAACACACGTTGTTCTTGATCTTATCTTTCAAATGTCATATAGCTAAGACCAGCCACACGGTGTATCCAAGCTTATATATATATATATATATATATATATATATATATATATATATATATAATATATATATATATATATATATATATATATATATATATATATATATATATATATATATATGTCGTGCCGAATAGGTAAAACTGGTCAAAAGTTGATAAATTAGACACATGTGCAACATATGTCTAATTTATCAACGTCGGTTCTCTGAACCATTCATCTACAGGTAAGACACATATGCAACAGTTAGGTATCTTTATTTTGAAACGTTTCGCCTACACAGTAGGCTTCTTCAGTCGAGTACAGAAAAGTTGATAGAAGCAGAAGATACTTGAAGACGATGTAATCAGTCCATCACCCTTAAAGTTTTGAGGTGGTCAGTCCCTCAGTCTGGAGAAGACTTTCAGACTTTGGAACAATGCTCTTCTCCAGACTGAGGGACTGACCACCTCAAAACTTTAAGGGTGATGGACTGATTACATCGTCTTCAAGTATCTTCTGCTTCTATCAACTTTTCTGTACTCGACTGAAGAAGCCTACTGTGTAGGCGAAACGTTTCAAAATAAAGATACCTAACTGTTGCATATGTGTCTTACCTAACAATCTGTCGGTATTTTATACCATTTTAATGTTCATTCATCTACACTTCTACTACTACTACCACTAGTATTACACCTCACTCTAAGCCTATATATACCCCCTGTGTCCGTGTCTTGTTTGTAACGGCTTGGAAAAGCTCCTGGAGAGCGAAACGTTGCCACAATAAAATGTCACATTAGTTGTACTTAGGTGTCCTTTTACTTTACACCTACATATATCCTGTCACAGCCTCCACAGGGTATAATGTTGGAGAATTGATGATCTGAGGGGCTCTTTTCTTGCAGTCTTTGATGAAAAAGGAAGGAAAATGTAAATCAGTGATGGCTTGGTGTATGTATGTACATTCCTCGTCAAGAAACTCAGGACTACAAATTCGGTATACTCTTAAGAAAAATCCGATGATGATGCCTCTTTTGGTCTTAGTATCTTGATTGGAATAGAAGTGTGTGAGATCATGTTTGTTTGTAGGTTTCCGGTAAACTTAGACTGTGGAAATATAAACACATATGCAGTATAATGTGATCCTTGTAAAGTAAAAGGACACAAGTGCAACTAATGTGACATTTATTGTGGCAACGTTTCGCTCTCCAGGAGCTTTATCAAGCCATTACAAACAATACATGGACACAGAGGGTATATAAAGGCTCTGAGCCTTTATATACCCTCTGTGTCCATGTATTGTTTGTAATGGCTTGATAAAGCTCCTGGAGAGCGAAACGTTGCCACAATAAATGTCACATTAGTTGCACTTGTGTCCTTTTACTTTACATATTGTCGGTAATTCTACCAACTTTATTACAATGTGATCCTTTATTGACAACGTTTCACCCACACAGTGGGCTTTTTCAAGTCACACACAGATCTGTGTGACTTGAAAAAGCCCACTGTGTGGGTGAAACGTTGTCAATAAAGGATCACATTATACTGCATATGTGTTTATATTTCCATTGTGTCGGTATTTTATACCATTTATTTCCAAACTTAGACTGTTATCAACTTTGTGAATGAGGACGTCTAGAAAAGATAGCTTGTCATTGGACTCTTCCTCAGGCAAGTCTTGTCCCCCAGGATGCGACCCACACCAGTCGACTAACACCCAGGTATCTACTTACTGCTAGGTGAACAGGGACTAAATAAGTTTATTCAGGTATACGTAAATACAGTTACATAGATTATCATACATAGCAGCATATGTGCAGAGAACCTAGGATAACCCAAAAAATTCGGACAGAGTAACTTATTGGGGTGTATGGAAACATGCATGAGCATGGAGTCTTAAATACTGTCGAAAGTTGAGGTGGAAGATGTCGAAGACGTTGCAGGAGACGGGGTTCACTAGCATAAGCAATTATTATTAAAATCATGGGGAGCGCTAAACCCGTAGGATTATACAGCGCATGTGGGGGGGGAGGGTATTCAGGCCTAATTCAGGGAACCGGAGCAAAGATCCAATTCCCTAGATCATGAGCCCCTCACCAGCGTCAAGGAGCTTCCCTTGAGGGGACTAGCACAAACAAGAAGGCAGGAATTGAGGAGCACTGCAGCAAGCCGCCTACCAGCCCTTGCTTGGCAAGTCCCTTTGGAATCCAGCCCCTTGTACATACTTTAATCTCACCACCTGGTTGAAACACTTGACATGATTCTCACCACTTGGGAACACTTGACATGACTCATTGACTGGGACATATCTATAATAAAAAAATTCAAGTGTTCGCTGCCGAGTCTTGCACCACTGGCAGCTGGTATCATCCTGCAGGTCAACAAGCTGGTTGGTATACAGCATATATGAACCGTACGGGTTTGGCTCTTGTTTTTCGAATTTGATAATAATACTGTGGCAAAGTGTTAACATTTATTTAAGCTCAGTAAATGGAAATAAGCAAAGGACCCCAATGGAAATAAGTCACTCTCTCTGACTTTTTTGGGTTATCCTAGGTTCTCTACACATATGCTGCTATGTACGGTAATTCTATGTAACTGTATTTGTGTATACCTAAATAAACTTACTTACTAGATATACTGCACAGTTTTAGATATTTACAATTGTCTTACATTGCACATATTGATAAACGTTGACAAAGCTCCCGGCGAGGGAAGCGTTGCCTAAACTAATGTTCTATTGTAACAAATGTGCCTTTTTTAATTTCAATCAGTTTGTGATATTGTGAGGTTGTAGCGGTGGGTCCTTTCTAGGGAGGTTCCTTGATGCCAGTGAGGAGGGGGTCTTGATGTAAGGAACCGGAACTGTTATTCCCTTCCTTGGATCGAATTTGATTGCCTCCCACTCTCCCAGGTGCTGTATGATTCCCTACGGGTTTAGAGTTGCCCCAAGAGTGCAATAATACTATGGTGGCGGCGGGTGATGGTCACTTGTCTGGTGGTTTGTGTCTGGGTGACGTCACGCCAGCAACAGTTTAAATGGCACCTGGTGGTATGTTGACGTAAATACTCAAATACCCAGTGATTATATCCTTACAGTGGCACGGATATAAGTGAAATAGTGACCGAGGGATCTAATAGCACTCGCAGAGTGTCCCGAGAATGGAGAAGTGTGACGGGAAGCTGAGAATAAGGAGAAAACTGGAGTGAAGTGGAGGTTTTGCTCACCTGTGCGGACGTTGGGAGATTGTTTGGTATTCTTAGACTTTCACGAAAATGGCTGAACTAACGCAGCCGTCTATGGTGTTCAACGGTGAGTAACAGGCAGCAGCGGTGGTTCCTGGGCACCACGGGCGCTCTTTGGCGTGGGAAAATTAGAGTTTGACCCGGTAGGAGGTGGAAATAGGTGGTGGGGGGAAGTGCATAGGTGGTGGTGACGGAGCCTTGACTCGAGGGACCATTGGTACATTGTTATAACAACGGCAGTGTGAACTGAGTGATCATTGGCACTGGGTACCCCAGCAGCAGTCTTGACCAGGTGATCACTGGCACTGTTACACCAGCAGCAGTCTTGACCAGGTGATCACTGGCACTGGTTACCCCAGCAGCAGTCTTGACCAGGTGATCACTGGCACTGTTACCCCAGCAGCAGTCTTGACCAGGTGATCATTGGCACTGGGTACCCCAGCAGCAGTCTTGACCAGGTGATCACTGGCACTGTTACACCAGCAGCAGTCTTGACCAGGTGATCACTGGCACTGGTTACCCCAGCAGCAGTCTTGACCAGGTGATCACTGGCACTGTTACACCAGCAGCAGTCTTGACCAGGTGATCATTGGCACTGGGTACCCCAGCAGCAGTCTTGACCAGGTGATCACTGGCACTGGTTACCCCAGCAGCAGTCTTGACCAGGTGATCACTGGCACTGGTTACACCAGCAGCAGTCTTGACCAGGTGATCACTGGCACTGGTTACACCTGCAGCAGTCTTGACCAGGTGATCAATGGCACTGGTTACACCAGCAGCAGTCTTGACCAGGTGATCACTGGCACTGGATACACCAGCAGCAGTCTTGACCAGGTGATCACTGGCACTGGTTACACCAGCAGCAGTCTTGACCAGGTGATCACTGGCACTGGTTACACCAGCAGCAGTCTTGACCAGGTGATCACTGGCACTGGTTACACCAGCAGCAGTCTTGACGAGGTGATCACTGGCACTGGTTACACCAGCAGCACTCTTGACCAGGTGATCACTGGCACTGGTTACACCTGAAGCAGTCTTGACGAGGTGATCACTGGCACTGGTTACACCAACAGCAGTCTTGACGAGGTGATCACTGGCACTGGTTACACCTGAAGTAGTCTTGACCAGGTGATCACTGGCACTGGTTACACCTGCAGCAGTCTTGACCAGGTGATCACTGGCTCTGGTTACACCAGCAGCAGTCTTGACGAGGTGATAACTGGCACTGGTTACACCAGCAGCAGTCTTGACCAGGTGATCACTGACACTGGTTACACCAGCAGCAGTCTTGACCAGGTGATCACTGGCACTGGTTACACCAGCAGCAGTCTTGACGAGGTGATCACTGGCACTGGTTACACCAGCAGCAGTCTTGACGAGGTGATCACTGGCACTGGTTACACCAGCAGCAGTCTTGACGAGGTGATCACTGGCACTGGTTACACCTGCAGCAGTCTTGATGAGGTGATCACTGGCACTGGGTACCCCAGCAGCAGTCTTGACCAGGCGATCACTGGCACTGGTTACACCTGCAGCAGTCTTGACCAGGTGATCACTGGCACTGGTTACACCAGCAGCAGTCTTGACGAGGTGATCACTGGCACTGGTTACACCAGCAGCAGTCTTGACCAGGTGATCACTGGCACTGGTTACACCTGCAGCAGTCTTGACCAGGTGATCACTGGGACTGGTTACCCCAGCAGCAGTCTTGACTAGGTGATCACTGACACTGGTTACACCAGCAGCAGTCTTGACCAGGTGATCAATGACACTGGTTACACCTGCAGCATCTTGACCAGTGATCACTGGCACTGGTTCACCGCAGCATCTTGACCAGTGATCACTGGCACTGGTTAACACCTGCAGCAAATCTTGACCAGGTGATCACTGGCACTGGTTCATGCCAGTCTTGACAAGTGATCATTGGCACTGGTTTACACCAGCAGAGTCTTGACCAAGGTGTCACTTGGCACTTGTTACCACCTTCATGCATCTTTGACCAGTGATCATTGCACTGTTACACCACACAGTCTTGATCCAGTATAATGGCACTGGTTACACCTGCTGAGTCTTGACCAGGTGACACTGACACTGGTTACACCGCAGCAGTTTGACCAGTGATCACTGGCACCTGGTTACACCAGCAGTCTTTGACCAAGTGATCATTGGCACTGGTTATACCGCAGCAGTCTTGACCAGGTGATCATGACAACTGGTTACACCGCAGCAGTTTGACCAGGTATCTCACTGGCACTGGTTATACCAGCAGAATCTTGACCAGTGATCATGGCACTGGTTTAACCAGCAGCAGTCTTGACCAGTGATCTTGACTGGACACAGGTTTGACCAAGTGATTATTGGAGGTAAACAGTCTGATCAAGGGATTATTGGCACTGGTTGCACCAGCAGTCTTGACCAAGTGATTATTGGCACTGGTTATACCAGCAGCAGTCTTGACCAAGTGATTATTGGCACAGGTTACACCAGCAGTCTTGACCAAGTGATTATTGGCACTGGTTACACCAGCAGTCTTGACTAAGTGATTATTGACACCTGTTACACCAGCAGTCTTGACCAAGTTGTTATTGGCACTGGTTACACTAGCAGTCTTGACCAAGTGATTATTGGCGCTGGTTACACCAGCAATCTTGACCAAGTGATTCTTGGCACTGGTTACACCAGCAGTCTTGACCAAGTGATTATTGGCACTGGTTACACCAGCCGTCTTGACCAAGTGATTATTGGCACTGGTTACACCGCAGTCTTGACCAAGTGATTATTGGCACTGGTTACACCAGCAGTCATGACCAAGTGATCATTGGCACTGGTTACACCAGCAGTCTTGACCAAGTGATTAATGGCACTGGTTATACCAGCAGTCTTGACCAAGTGATTATTGGCACTGGTCACACCAGCAGTCTTGATCAAGTCAACATTGAGACTGGTTTCATCAGCAGCGGTCCTGACCAAGTGACCATTGGTAACAGGATGTTGAAAATGCAGTGGAACCTCAGTTTTCACCATTTTTTCGTTCCAGAAAGTCTGACGAAAATCGAATTTGACAACAACTGAAGCCATATTTCTCATAAGTAATAATGTAAATCCAATTTATCCATTCCAGACACTCAAAAGTATTAACAAAAAAGTACATTTTATAGAGAATAACTATAGTTTTACATACAGAATACGGTGAGAAATAATTACGTAGGTCAGGAAAAAATAAGTTATGCATGATCAGAGTCACTAGTGACATGGTTCTGACAAATAGATTAAAACCAAACAAATATCCTGACCGGGATGAACTGTTTTCAAGGGTTCAGAAGGAATGTGCAGAACCTAGCAAACCAATAGCAGTCTTTCCAATAAATTGCTATAGATGGATATCATACCAGATAAGTGGAAAATGACAAATGTGATATCAATTTACAAAACGGAAAATGTATAGGTCCTTAGCTTCAAGTTATAGGCCACAGTGTAATCTCAATTGTGGGAAAATTGAAAGAATCAGTAATTGCAGTCAGTTCAAAGTTATATTTTTAATTAATACAGTACATTTTGTGTGAACAGTACTTGTTTAACAAACATTATTGTATATATAATTTCCACTTTCCACAGATGTGACGTCAGTAAGCCAAGTTGATACAGAATCGGGTGCTGATCCACGTATTTGTTTAGTTGGCAGCCTCGCAGATGAAGTAGAAACACTTGAAGCAGCAAAGGTATAAAATTAGTATATGTAAAATGAGCTTAAATTTTTAAACAAGAAATTCATGCATTTAAAAATGGCTAATGAGTATGTGTGCATTTCGTAATTAACTACTAATTTGTTGCTACAGGATCAAAGCTATGCTCTGTATTCTATCTTCATTAATACAATTATCATATAATTTTCTAAAGTTGCACTAGTTGTGGCATTTAGTACTTCCTATTTCACTTTATTCCATTCTTCCACCACTGTAAAGAAAAAACTTCTTAGTATCCTTTTTGCACCATTTTTTTCTTAATTTACATTTGTTGCCTCTTGTCCTCATTGAAGGTAATGTTCTAAAAAAATTTCTTTATCTATTCTTTCATTTTTGTTTATTACATGTTGAGTAAGAAACTAATTACAAAAGGGTCTTAGTGTATGACATGCCACCATAGATTGATTTTATCAGGTATATACATTGAACATAACAAATTACAACTAATACGTACATCCAGAAGTCAGGTGCTGTGTGTAAGAGAGAGAGAGATCAGGCATCAGGTGTGAGTAGAGAAGCATTGAAACAGGCTTACCAGCACATGTTAGGTTTGTTTCTTTGTTCTGATACTATGCTGGCTATTGATATGGGTCTTGTTGGTTTAGCACTTTCTTTGATTATAATAATAATAATACTGATGTGGGTAAAGCAAAATGTTCACTGTTTCATTAGATTGTGTTATTGAGTTTAATCGCCAATGATTCAAGACATATATGTTCTATCTTGTCCTTTTCACAAAATAGAAGTGTTGCTCTGTCCCATACCATAAGTTGGAAATGGGTGTTGTGTTGGATGCAGGCATTGTTTAGGTTGTCAGTTTGGGCTGATTGCATCTTCTGCTGCAGTAAAACATTTGATAGAGTACCACACCAGTGAGTAAAGTAAGAGGCAAAATAACTGAATGACAGAAGGTAGAGAGTAACAGTATGGAATGAGACACAATGGAGTGAAGTAACAAATGGGGTTCTGCAAGGATCAGTACTAGTACTGTTACTAATATAGGTGAATGACCTGCCAGAGGGGATTGAATCTTGTGTGTTGCTGTTTTCAAATGATTTCAAAATAATGGGGAGAATAAGAACAGGAAAGGAAAGTGATAAACTTCAGGGAGACCTCAACAGGCTACATATGTAGTCAAACAAGTGACTTGAACAAATTCAAGCTCATGTTAATTGAGAGGGTGGAGAAGTTGAAAATATCAATGAAGAGGACCTGGGAGTAAATATGACACCAAGCCTTTGGCAAAGAAATGCATATAAACCATAGATCATCAGCAACACATGTATGATTAGCAAATCTGAAAATAGCATTCAGTAACTTGAACTGCATATCATTCAGAACCTTATGCATGATGTATGCTAGGCCAATTATTGAATATGTGGCCTCAGCTTGGAGCCCACACCTGATAAAACATGAGGAGGAGCTAGAAAAAGCCAAAAGGTTTATAACCAGACTGGTACCAGAACCAAGAGAAATGCACTTTGAGGACAGGCTAAAGGAAATTTATCTGACTACCCTGAAGAAGAGTACAAAGGAATACACGATTATGATATAAAAAAATCTTGAGGGGAATTGATAGGAAAGATAGACAGACTGAATCAGTAAGACTAGGTTCGAGAGGAAACAGGTGCAATCTGAAGACACAAATGAGCCATAGAGATGTAAGGAAGTATGTACTGTATTTCTTTAGTTTCACAGTGGTCAAAAAGTGAAATGACTAGTATGAGGCAGTGGTGGAGGAAAACTCCATACTCAACTTCAAGAGTATATGTGATAATCCATGACGCTGGAAATTGAAGTCAATCAAAGTACATGTTTGAAAGGTGGGGCCTGAAACAATCTTAATCCTTTTAAGCACAACTCAGTGAGTGCATACATACATACATTAGGTCATAAATATGTACGTACAGTACATAAACAGATAGCACAGAAAATGAGACCCCTCACCATAACTTATTGTTATAAAAATAAAATTCCTAAACTAGTATTTCGTTGGATTACCTTTCCTCTTGATTCACTCCATAAATCTAGTCTTTGATAAGGGTAACTTATGGAGGATCCTGGCACAAAATTTTGGGGTTTGACGACACATCTGTGCCACGAAGCTTGCATTTAATATGTTTCCAAATGTTCTCCATCAGATTTAAGTCAAGTGAGTTTCCAGGCCAATCATTAAAGTATGTTCAACTGCAATCATTAAGCCAATTCTTTATATCTTTAGCATTGTGTCAAGGGGCACCATCTTCCAAACAAAAATTGACCTTCCATTTCTCTAAGCTGTCAAGCAATTAGTCTGATAAAAGCTTATTTGTGCATGTGCATATTTATGATGCCTAATTTATATACATATACAAATGCACATGCATGTATATTACAAATGATAGGGAATCTTGTCCTGATGGTAATGAAACCAAAAGTATGAAATTTGATGGAAAACTTGAGGAATTACTCTCTCGCAAAGTTAGTGGTCTCCGTGATATTTACACATTGGTAATTTCGCCCACTTTGAGCCCTATTTTCGGCCAATTCCAATGTTCCAGTCGACCATACTCATAGCTGTTTCGCTAGAACTCTTTTTGTTCTATCAAGTAAGTACAAGAAACCGCCCATTTACTGAATTTAACTACCCAATAAAGTGATCAGAAATTGGTAATTTGGCCAATTCCATACAAAATTCAAGGAAGGCCAATTTCAAAATAAGGTCCATAATTAACAATGAAACAGTTCTAGCACTAAAATAACATTTTATCTGTTCATTAGTCACGTCTCCAGGCCCTTCTTATATTACACTTGCTCTCCATTTTGAATTTTTATTCACACAAAAAATTGATTTACTGTTATGCAGACTACTGCATTATTGTAAAAATGGTATAAATAATATCAGTGCATTTGTGAAAGCATATTAGACCCATCATGTGACGTGTATTGGAATCGTGACATGATTTATTTACTCTTGAACATTGGCAAAAATCGAACATTCCCACTACTTTGGGCTCAATTTTGAGGTACTTTTAGTCAGTAAACCATTCTATCAAATGAGACCAAGAAAACGAGAATACAGCCATAAATACTATATGAAAATACACAGCAAAGCCACTGTTTTAAACCAAGCATACGATCGCAGTTTTTTTTTTTCTCATGCACTGCGTGCTGCAGGACTTTTTTTATACTGTGCACACTGACAACTCAGACCCATTCTCTCATATGTAGGCCTACCTGCTATCTCCTGCAAGACTGGAAGCCGCTAGGATTTTGGTGTAGTATTATGGGACCGACGCTGGCTTGCAAGCTGTAAAATTATGGAACCAACAGAGAAAGGGTTAAATTAGCAATAAAACTAAGCATTAAAAACAACAAAAAGTAAAATACACACACAGTACACTTATTACTTATCTTATAATATTTGCAGTCCTAATGTAGGGCGAGAGATGAGTAGTATTTACAGTGGACCCTCAACCAATGGCTTTAATCCGTTCCAGAGAGCCTAGCCTTGAGTTGAATTAGCCATTAGTCAAATTAATTTTCCCCATAAGAAATAATGGAAATAGAATTAATCCGTTCCAGACACCCAAAAGTATTAAACAAAATAATTTTTTTTTACATGAAATATACATTTCCCTACACAGAAACAAATGGTACATGCAAAATAAACAATAATTAAATGCCACTTACCTTTCTTGTGGAATTGTTGGTGAGTGATGTGCCAGCAGCAGGGGAGATTCAGGTGTTCTATTGTTTGGAAGGGGAATCCCCTTCCATAAAGACTTCAGGTACCAAGTCCTTTGCTGGGGTTACCTCCCTTCTTGGTTTTATAATGCCACTAGGACCAGCTTGAGAGTCACTGGACCCCTGTCGCACAAAATATCTGTCCAGAGAGCTCTATTTCTCACGTCCCCTTAGGATTTCCCTAAAATGGGACACGAGTGTCATTGTACATGTTGCCAATACGGCTTGCAACAGGTGTGACAGGATAAAATTCATCCATAAATGCTTGCACCTTTGTAAACATTGTACACATTTCATTAATCCTTGACGAAGGCAACTTCCTCCGTCTCTCTTCCTCCTTTGAAGCACATTCCTGAGCTGTGATCGGTTGCTGTTGCACCTCAAGCTCTTGCAGCTCTGCAGTGGTTAGTTCTTCATCATTTTGCACCAACTCTTCCACATCCTCACCACAAACCTTCAACCCCATGGACTTCTGCAATGACACAATAGATTCCACAGTGGCATAGGCTCCTGAGGGTTAGCCCCAAACCCTTCAAAATCCCTCTCTCGTACACATTGTGGTGACAGTTTCCTCCAAGCAGAGTTCAAAGTCCTGCAAGGCACTCCCTCCCAAGCCTTACCTATAAGGTTTATGCAACTGAGGATATTGAAGTGATCTTTCCAAAACTTCACTTTGCAATATGCTCTTGCAAGCCATGCGGACGAGCAGGAGCATTGTCCATTGCCATGAGGAACTTGAGTGACAAAATTCTTTTCCAGGAGGTAATTTTCACTATAAAACCACTCCAAGAAAATTTCCCTAGTGACCCATGCCTCACTGTGAGTTCGCTTTCCACATCACACACAAATTACCCTTGACGATATTGTTTTTCTTGAACACACTGGGAGTTTTAGAGTGATAAACCAGTAAAGGCTTCACTTTGCAATCCCCACTAGCATTACTACAAAACATGAGCGTTAGCCTGTCTTTCATAGACTTGTGTCCTGACAGTGCCTTTTCCTCCTGAGTAATGTAGGTCCTGTTTGGCATTTTCTTCCAAAACAGGCCTGTTTCATCACAATTAAACACTTGTTGGGGTTTTAAGTTTTTTACTCCTTAAAGTCCTACACACATTTTTCAGCTGCTTTTTTTGTCTGAACTGGCAGCCTCACCATGCCTTATCACACTGTGTATGCCACTACGATTCTTAAATCTCTCAAACCAGCCTTTGCTGGCCTTAAATTCATCAGCAGTAGCACTATTTGGAGGCATTTTCTTAATGAGATCATCATGCAACTGCCTTGCCTTTTCACATATTATTGACTGAGACACTCTCTCCTGATAATTGTTTTTCATTTATCCACACCAACAAGTCTCTCCACCTCTTCAATTATTTGCGATCGTCGTTTTGAAAACATACTTGAACCTTTGGCAACAACAGCTTCCTTGATTGCCTTTCTGTTCGCCAAGATAGTAGTGATGGTTGAATAGGGTTTGTTATATAGCCTTTCCAACTTGGACATACGCACTCCACTTTCATATTTTTCAATTATCTCTTTCTTCAGTTCCATCGTAATTCTCTCATTTTACCACAGGGTTGGCACTAGAAGTTTTCTTGGGGCCCATGGTGGCTTATTTAGCAGTTACAAGTACTAAAAACAATGGAATAATACAAAATATATCGCAGGTGCACATGGAATCGACCACAATGGCATGTAAACAATGCCACACTGGCTGTACACGGAGTCTTGGAGTGGCTGGGCCCACTCAGGCCGCATGGACACGTTCGGGATGAAAGCCTTTAGACGAGTTTTTCGCTGTTGGTAGAGCCAATATTTTGACGCCAAAGAGCGTCGTTAGTCAGTTTTGGCGTTAGTCGATGCCGCCGTTGGTTGAGGGTCCACTGTGTTTGTAGGAAGTCAGGTGTGGGAAGTATGGTAGCCAGCCAGGCCAGGCCACCCCACCCACATGTAATATACTACAACAGTAAAAGTGCCCTAGAGCAATAAAATGCATGTACAGTATACTCATTACTTACTTTAAAATACGTGTATTTGTAGTCTTAAACCCTTGACTGTCGCAACCCCCAATCCTGAGGTGTCTCCTGGTGTCGCAAAATTTAAAAAAAAATAATTATTTTTTCTTATGAAATGTTAGAGAATCTTTTCCCAATTGTAATGACACCAAAAAAACGAAATTTGATGGAAAACTGACGGAATTATGCTCTCGCGAAGTTAGAGACCTCGGCAATATTTATGAATTGGCAATTTTGCCCATTTTGAGCCCTATTTTCAGCTAATTCCATTGTTCCAGTCGACCAAACTCATTGCTATTTCTTTAGAACTCCATTTGTTCTATCGATTGAGTACAAGAAACTGCCCATTTACTGATTTCAACTACCCAATAATGTGGTCAAAAATTTGCAATTTGGCCAATTTCACGCAATTTAAAAAGCATGCCAATTTCAAAATAGGGTCCAGAATGAACAATGCACACATTCCTGGCTCTAAAATAGCATTTTCTCTGTTCATCAGTCACATCTCCAGGCCCCTCTGATATTACTCTTGCTTTCTATTTTGAATTTTTATTCAAACAAAAAATAGAAGATTTACTGTTACGCAGACTGCTGCAATATTGTAATAATTGTATAAATAATGTCAACCCATTCATGATTGCATATTAGAATGGCTAGTTGAACATTTATTGGACAATGACATCATTTGTTTACTTTTGAACATTGGCAAAAATCAAACATTTCTCCTACTTTGAGCTCCATTTCAAGGTTCTTTTCATAGTAAAACCAATCAAAATCATCTCTATTTCTATAACATGTTTTCCATTCTGTCAAATGAGACCAAGAAAACGAGAATACAACAATAAATACTATACGAAAATACACCACAAATTCAGAGTTTTAATCCAAAAAACGGTTGGAGTTTTTTTTTTTTCCTCATTATGCACTGCGTGCTTCAAGATTTTTTTTATATGGTGCACACTGACCACACAGACCCATTCTCTCACATGTGGGCCTACCTGCTTTCTCCTGCTTCATTTGAAGTCGCTAGAATTTGAGTATGCATACGTCAAACACAGTGGCTCGTAAGACGAATACATACGACTGAAACAGTCAAAGGGTTAATATAAGTTAGGGTGAACTTGTTGTCTGGCATTTATATGCATTTATAAGTGAAAAAAAGTGGCGTTCTGCTTTCCGGTGATGTCTGCTTTCCGATGATAGCCTGGAACCTTACCTGCTGTATAAGTGCGGCCCACTGTATATGTACAAGGTATACAGGCCTAGCTAACATCAATGATATTCCACTATATAGAAAACCCCTTGTTATACAGAGCATTTTGGGCAAATTAGGTCAGTTTTGTTCCCAAGATGTGACCCACACCAGTCAACTAACACACAGGTACCTATTTTACTGATAGGTAAATATGGACAGCAGGCGTCTTAAGGAAACACGTCATAATATTTTCACCCGTACTGGGGATCGACCCCCCCCCCCCCCCCAGACCTCGATGTGTGAGCTGAGTGTGTTAGCAATCGATATCCATATACAGATACTCCTCACTTGACAACCTACCTGTTTAATAACTGCTCGGACTTAGGACCAGCTCTCCAACCAGTATGCAAACCTAAGTAATGTATATTAGAGCATATTTCATCTATTCTGTTTATTACAGTATACAGTACACCACTGTACAAACATTTAAAAATACAGTGGAACCTCGGACTACGAATGCCCCACCATGCTAACTTTTCAGGATACAAACCATCGTTCTGTCGATTTTTTGCTTCTGGATACGAACGAAATTTCAGGATGCATACTTTCCCCTCAAGGGAGGTTCCTTAAATAAATAAAGTATTTATATCTTTGCAAAGGTTACAGTGTGTGTTTACATATCATAATATAATTGGAGCAAAGAAAGCCACTATCATGCCAAGGCATTTCAGGCAGACTTAACCTAATACATGTACTTATAGACTACTTAAGATTAGAGAGGTGAAAAATACATACATACTGTACATACATACATACTGTACATACATACATACTGTACATACATACATACTGTACATACATACATACTGTACATACATACTGTACATACATACTGTACATACATACTGTATATACATACTGTACATACACACATACATACTGTACATACATGCATACTGTACATACATACATACTGTACATACTGTGCATACATACATACTGTGCATACATACATACTGTGCATACATACTGTACATACATACATACTGTACATACATACTGTACATACATACATACATACTGTACATACGTACTGTACATACATACATACATACTGTACATACATACATACTGTACATACATACATACATACATACTGTACATACATACATACATACTGTACATACATACTGTACATACATACATACTGTACATACACACATACTGTCCATACATACTGTACATACATACACATACTGTACATACATGCATGCAACAGTTAGGCATCTTTATTTCAAAGCATTTTGCCTACACAGTAGGCTTCTTCAGTTGAGTACAGGAGAGTTGGTAGAA